CCTTTTGGCAAATTAAAGGTTTTTGCCACCCCCCCCCAAAAACCCCCCACCCGCCCGTGGGGGGGGGGGATTTTGGGGGGTTGAAGTCCACACATCTTCAAGTTGCCAAGGCTGAGAAACACTGGACTAGAGTGTCACTGGTGGCCTCTTCCAGATCTGATGGTGCCTTCTTTGTACAGCCTTTGAAGCTTATGGCTTCTCTACTCATACAGGTTCCGACTCAGTTTCTTTTACAATTTGGCACATACCTGCACTTCCAAATTAGGGAAAGAGGTGAAAAATCTTGAGATCCCCCTAGAATTCTCATTTTGGTCTCAACCTTGGAAAAAAAACCCTAAAAATAAAATAGATTTTAAAAAAAACAACACTCCATTGCCATCAATCAGGTAGCAAGGTGGGATATCAATCAAAGAAATATATTCAGAATAAACTTCTCACACAGCCTGAAATTTGGCAGGGGTTCTGAGTTCCCTGAATTTGTCACCAAAGAAGAGACTGGAAGAGTTTTTAGAAAGCAGGAATAAGATTCAACAATCTTCTTTGAGCCAACAAAGAGCTCAGTGCAAAGTTCATCTCAGCCTGGGCCAAGAACTTAAGCAATATGGTAACAAATGAAGTAATCAAAGGAAGGTAATTTTATATTCTGCACTGAGCCAGGAAAAGGAGAAAGAAGACGGTTTTACGATGAGTCTTAAAAAGAAATGAATGGGGGGAAAAACATAAAAACATAGGATTCCATTTTACTTGATTAGAGCTGGAAATACATTTCTAAAGCCAGAACTTACAGTTGTCTAGTGAAAACTAAACGTTCTGCCTTACAAAATGCTTGCTAGTGACAGGAAGGTATGTTTTCTTTTAAAAAACCCCAGTTTTAAAATAAAACTAATTTGGAAAATAAACATTGGTTCCAATCCAGTTTATAGTTGTTATGACAGAGGCTGTGGTCCTAGGTGCATTAGAGCCGTGTTCCCCACCCTAGTGTCCTCTAGATCTGTTGGGATTGCAATGCCTTGAATTCCTGGTTAGCGTGGAAGAAAGACTTCCTGCTGACAAGCGACTTTTTAAAAAATGCAGCTTATTTACCTGCTGTTATCCTGCTCTCTTTATTTTAGTACTGTTTCCTTAGGGCTAGCTAGGGGTAGCCCTTCACTGTGCTCAAAACTCTGTTTCAAATGTTCTGCTCTGAGTGCCCCTTTGAAACGTAATAATTGATATAGCGCTTTAAAAATGCATTTTTGTTTTACAAAATCACGCCATTTTAAATATTTCCCACCCCGTGCTGCTAACCCACTCCGTGATAGATTTTTATTACGGCAAATAATCCTATGAGCCCGGGATACAAGTGGGGTTGTTTTGTAGCTGCCTTTTACTAAAATAGATTCACTCACAACATGGGTTTGTGAAACTCAAGTTTTGCACAAGGGCTGACAACTTTTCTTGGCCCCGAGCGCTATCGCAGTGTGGCTCTGGAGCATCTCTGCCGTGTGCAGAGTTGAAACTAGTGAGATGTTGAAGTTCTTGCACGTGATGATGAAAACTTTTCGTGGGACCTTATGAGTTTTGGGGGGATTTCCCCCCAAGATTTCTCAGCTACTGTCCAGGGCCCTTAGGTCTGCTCCAGCTGGCTGTTTTGAGATTTCCAACAGGAGTTTTTCCCACCCTGGAAAAAAACCTTGTGTCAAGGCTGTCCCCCAAACGATGGTCTTTCCTTCCAGATTCTGCTGAGTAGTAGCCAGTCTGACGCCTGGTTGTCATTCCTCTGTTTTGGGGGTTAATGTTAAAAGTGCTAAAGAATATGGTAGAGTCCTTCTACAGGCAAAGTAAGGAGCAGCAGAAGGCCTCTGCATCGGTTATCCTGCACATCCACTCTCACACCCATTTACCTGGGAGAAGCCCCATTGAAATCCGCAGGACGTCTTCACCGTAGGAGTGCCCAGGACGTGACACCAGTTGTCTCTTTAGTCATCGTACCGTTAAAGTGGTCTCGCTGAAATATTACTGGAATGTAACTTTCCCAGTTCTGAATGTTATCCCCCCACCTTTTCTTTCTTTCTTTCTTCCTTCCTTTTTTTTTTTGTAATGTGAAAGGTTACAACGACTGGTGAAAGATTTGCTGAAGCAGCTTCAAATTCAGGATGGTAACAAAATCTCCGCTCTGGATAGGATTTTGGGCGAGATTTCACGAATCCTGGAAAAAGAGGTAGGGTCACTTTTATTGCTCAACTCCGAATTATCTTGTAGAACACACCACCCTTTGACGCAAGGGTAGTTCTTAACTCTTTTCGTGCATACAAGTGTATCTTGGCTGAAGCTTCATAAATCTTAGAGTGTTGACTTTCTTTCTTATATACTCATGTCCCTGTGGTGGCTTGGTTCACAGACCACGCTAGGTCATAAACCATAGTTTGCAAACCGCAGTGGCTGGGTTTCCACTTTGCAGTAAGCCACAAACGGGCCGACATTCAGGAGAAGCATAGTCGAATTCTGAATATTTGTCACTATGCTGAAGGCATTTGAAATTGCGTGGTTAATGAATGGAAAGGATTAGAAAACTAAACTAGGCTGGCTGCCATTTTGTATTCATTTCTAATGTTGCTTTAAAATATATTCTTTACTGTAAATGTAGGAAAATCTAGTTAATGTTAGTTAATTATATCAAATAGATTAATTGATTTCTCCATTAAATGCGTTGTTTTAAAAGTAACAGAAGCCTTGGATTTCCTTCACAAATAAGACACTCTATTATCTGTTTTCTCATGATGGAAGGGTTTTCATCATTAGAACATCCCAGATCCTGTAATGCCAGTTAGAGAGATAAGCGGTACATTGTTCCAAATTTTTCCCCCCAGTAATTAAATTAATGGCCATTTCAAAATCAACACTTCCCTTCGCAGAGTTCAAATGGGCCTTGAATAGTGTTTGCTGAGTCTGATTCCCGAATGCCAGAATGTTATACGTTCCGTATATTCTCTGTCGGCTTTTCAACTTTATTGCCTGTATTTTCTGATACATTTTTGTTTTACGTCTGAGAGAGCTCTTTGTCCTTTTTTCCACAGTGAAGGTTTTTATGAAATTGCATTAAAGCAAATCACTAACAGGCTAAATCTTATGAACCAATAAAAGGTTGGTTCTATAAAATGACATAAAACGTGCAGTGCCATTACGTTTAAAAGTAGATCTATAGACTGCCAGCGCTTTCACCTAAAAATGCCCTTCTAAAGTGATCCTCTAAGCATTTACTAGCTTGGAATCATCTTTGGAATGAGAATTCTGCATAGTTAACATTACAGTTCAGGAGGTACAGCTCTTCATAACTTTCAAAATGATGGATTGCGGAGGAAGTGTTTCCTATTGACTTTGGGGAGAGAAGGAATCATACAGGAGAATATATTTCCTTCAACGTTTTTCCATCTAATTTTAATTTATTGTCCCTAAAGCCTTGGTATCTATCCTGTTTCACAACAGTGTTATGAAAATCCTTAACACCTTAACCCCCCCATTGAAAACAATTTCATATTGATTGAGTTGAACAGTTTCTCTCTTTATTGATTAAAAATGAATTTCAAATTGGGTTTTGAGTATCAAGAAAATAACATAAACTTTGTGCAGCTTATCAGCAACTTTTCCGACATGTGTGTGCCATTACTGCAAGTAAACAGAATTTAAACAAGATAGATTTGACATGGAATTCCTCAACCCTCCCCCTAATTACTGAGCCTGTTTTTAAAATATCCAGCCAAGCTGCTGCTCAAAACTGGCAGGATGTCACACACAGCCCTTACTAAGTGAGTTCAAATCTGCCAAAGTTTATAAGCTGGTGGAAGTTAGAAGGCAAAATGCTTCCTGACCCGTGCCGCCGAGTGTAATGTGGTACAATATCAGATTCTGGCAAAGCCAGCCTCCGTTTGGGTTCATTGAAATCCAAATACCACAAGCAGTGGAAGAAAAATAAATATATGCTGTAGAACGATATGCCTGAAAGATTTGTGTTAGGCAACATCTATCTGATGGTCCTGTCCAAGTCTTCTCTGAAAAACGAGGCATTGATGCATCTAGTCGGAAGATCTGCGTGGGAGAAAATGTGCCCAGAGTTTATCCCACACAGTTTTTGGTGTCCTACTCAAATTTACTTTATAGCACATCTGTGGCTTTCTACATGATGTTAGATCCAGCTTTCATGAACCAGCAGCCACAGATGATGGGAGCTATATTCCAACAGTATCTGAGATCTGCAGGTTTCCTCAACCTTACTTGCAACAACCTGGACTGTCTTGGGAGTCAGACGGCATATAAAAGAAGAGAGGAGGAGGAGAAGGAGAAGTTGAAGTTGATTTCAGAGAAGAAGATGGAGGTGGAGGAGGAGAAGAACCAGATTTCCCCCTCTTGATAGGAGGAGGAGGAGGAGGAGAAGAAGATGATGAAGAAGAAGAAGAAGAAGAAGAAGAAGATTATTTCCCCTTCTTGATTAGAGCAAATAATCATTTCCCACAGTATCTCATGGAAGAAGCTGTCTTTAAAAACACCATTTCCCTTCTTCTGGATATTCTCTTCATTTTCTATCATTAATGAAGTTTCTTTTCATATTCTATAATCCTTGTAGTATTTTTACACAAGCTTTCCCAAACTGCCGGTGGAATGAAATGGTTTAAAATGAATTAAATTGTATCAACGGTTAAAAAGCTACCATTTGGTTCAACCCAGAAGGGTTTTTTTAAACAAATGAAACCCAAATTTTATGCAGCTTGCAACACTTCTGTAACTCAAAGGTTTATTGTGATAGGCCTGACCCTGTAATAGGACCATGGCTTTAGCATAAATAATTTAAATCTCATACAGAAGACAAACTGTTCTTTAAGCCTCGGGGTGGATTAGGATAAGCAAACCTATGTACAAGATTACAAATATCTGTTCTTAATTGGCCCCTGTGAGACGAGGGTGTGTATATATTTTAACAGGAAAACATAGATTCTTGTTACTGGTGTTGATATGCATCAGCTAATAGAAAAATAGATATGGTTCTTCCCAGGGATTGCCATAAACATGAACTTTAAATGTTTTTTTAAAACAAGCCTGTGGTTTAATCAAACCTGTATTTCCCCCTTATCACCAGTAGATATCTGTCTTCTAGTGGTACAGTTGGAAGCAGCACGGATTGTATTTCTGAGTCTTTCTATAATTACACCATTGCTAATTGTGTCGTAATACAGTAACCTAAACAAACGTTTATTGAATTTTCTTCACAAATTCACCACAAGTACTATTACAGGGAGCGCTGGGTAGAATAATGCATAGAGCAAAAAAGTGTGCCCGAATAATGCTATCGACCTGCACTTATTTTGAAAAATCACCCCCTGTTTTTCAGTCTAAATAGACTGAAGAAATTAGCAACTTGGACCGGAAAAAAATCAGTCAGATGTTACAGGCAGGTTCAGAAGCAACCAGAGAAAATTCTTGTATCCAATAACAAAAATAAATCTCACTAAAGTTTTAATCGATTGCAATAAATAAATAAAAATACTTGGAACAAAAAAACCTTTCTGAAAATAAAGTACCTGGCCCCTGAAGTTCTCCATCAATTTGATATCCTGCAGTTGCATTGTGGCACAGCTCCCATCATGCCCCAGCTTATGGCCCTTCTGACCAGGAGAGGGATGGGATTTGTAGTCCAACGCCTGGCTCTCTAGACTCTGAATTCCTTTTTTCAAGACTTGTTTTTAACTCAGTGACAAGAAGGCTGGATGAGTTACTTTACTGCAGACTAGAACAAAGCTCTGTACAGTGTTTACACGCACACACACTCTGTAATTCTAGGTTTTATATCCTACGTTTTTCCTTGTGTTCTTTTAAGTCAGCATAGACTTGGCCATATAGAGGCACTCCTTAGGACCATGGGAGGTAGCTGGGCTACACTGACATGACAGTTTTCTCGAGGCTGGTTCCTGCCTCGCCAGTTTCATTTCTAACAGGCTGGGAAAACTGGTATATTGTTAAGGTTCAGTGGGTCTTTGGGTGAGGCATTCACAGAATCAGGGCTACCACTGAGAAGGGACTGCTCCCTGGGAGAAAATGTACAGAGTGTGCCTCCTGTTCCTGAGTGGAGTGATCATCCAGGGCTTTTCCTTTTCTTGATGAATTTACAGTTGGAGTCTAGATAAATCAACTAAATAAATTTAGATCAGTTTAAATCAATCAGTCAATTTAAAACAATCACTTTACGTAGCTGCAGGCCTCGTATATAGCAGTAAGTGTGCAAGGCAGAGGTCCTTTTCTGCAGCCCGACCTGAGATAAGAGAACTGCTGTTGCAAAATCCTCTCTGGTTAACCTCTCTGGTTAGCGTTGGCACCTGGGAACCTGCCAAGCCATTCGCCAGGTATTCTGGCTGACAGATTCCCAGGCCCTGTGTGCGAAAGGCATGAAAGATATTTCTGCCAGGTGCAGTAATGCAAATGACCATTGTCCTCGGCCCAGCCAAGGATGCAGCTGTGACAAAGGGGTGATTCCCCCTCCCTTTGTAAACCAAGTTAAGATAGTGCTTTATGCGTCACAAACATGTTATTTTTCTTGCACGTATTGACATTGCCAAAACCAGTCACTTTAGCGCCACAAGAAAGGAAATATACTGCCAGTAATATAAATGTAGGTAAAAGGCAGGCAGAAAGACGTTTTTCTTCTTCCTGCAATACATAATCGGTACCCTGATGTGGGGTATACATTATTGAGGTGTTTTTCTATTTTGGCTTGCAAGCTGCTTCTCTCTAATGCTGGAATTGCTCTCCAGGAACAAGGGCTTCCTATTCAGACAGCGTCCTTGGCTAACCAAACCAGAGGAACTGTTTTCCCAGTTTGCGTGATGCCGGATGGAGATCTCTGGTTTGCTTCTTCCAAACGGGAAGCCAAGAACAAGCTAGGTTTCTCTCTCATGGAAGCTTGGAGGCTATTTCCATTCTGCCTTGGCGCGACTTGTGGTCTTCTCCCCTAAGAGGAGCCCTTCAGGCTGCCATGTAGACGAGTCAGTTTGTCACCAGTTCTTTTTTCTCTCTTTTCCTTCTTGACATTGTCATAAATTAATAGACTTTTCAGCTTCGGTATTCCCCCTTCTGAATGAAAACCTTTGCTCAACACGGAGGGGAAAAAACCAAGAGAAAAGTTGATAGTAGCTCCATAAGAAGGCTTTGCTGCCCATCACTGGAGCGACAGTG